AAAATCATTCGATAAAAAGTTAAGTAAAGGTTTTTGTTTACTTAACTTTAATGTTCATTAAATGCCTTCAACGAATCATTAACTGACTCTGAGAGGGAATTTTTTCAAATCGTTACTGAGGGACACCTTAAGTAATCATTAAACGACTCTGAGTGCGGCTGTAAGAGTATTTTCAATGTATCGAAAGAGAAGTATCGATACTTACTAGCTATCGGATTGAAAAGCGTCGAGTAAAAAAATACTTGGTATCCCAACAAAAGTATGGAGTATTTACTTTTACTCGCTGGTTTCGTTTGATCCCAACTTGGCACAGTAGAGAAACGAGTGGCTTGTTTGATGACGGGAGATAGACGAAGTATCTCATATCCCTCATTTGCCACCAGACTCATTCGCTTTGCTTCCTTATCCAATTTGGAAAAGTCACAACAGGCTTCGTGGTTTTTTTTACCGATGATTTCAATATAAAGACACGAATTTCGATACCATTTCGGTACTTTTTACTCGATAGTTTTAAAACGATATTTTTTTTGTTATCGAGTGCCAGAACCCTAGTAACGTATCAAATGTCATAAGCTCAATTTACAAAGATAATGGGACTAACAATTCTTCCCGATATAAATTGGACTTTAAAAAACAGAAATTTGTACTATCTTTAGAATTGCATGTGACCAGTGGAAAAGTTGTAGGCCTTTTCGGGGAATAGGGCGAGGTGACACAACGGCGGGGGGTGAGCGGACCCTCAGATGGGGGTGCTGGCGAACCAGGAAACGTGGCCGATTGCCGGATGGCACGCTATGCACACGCACTGAATCTGCAGCACAATATTCCTCCTATGTCGATAGGAAACCCGATATGCCCGCACCATGTCCAATCTCACAAAGGAAAGGCGGAGGTTTTTCGGTTTTTTTTTTAAATTTATTTACACAGCTTAGTTAATTAATTGAGTAAGGGTTTGTGCTCAAATTTGCGCGGAAAATACGAAACTTTATGGGGAATATATTGCAAAGAAAAGCGACTGCGTGAAACCAGGGTGGAAAAAATTCTGACATATACAACGAAATGTCATTCCTTCTTATTCCCTTTGGTGCGCTGTCAAAGGGTGCCTGCCTTATCGGCATTACTACGTATATCGCTACTTAAAGTTGTTTAAACATTAGGGGAGGTTTAGACTTCAAATATATTAAGTACAATAATCCAATAATTCAGATAGAGATTTTAAGCTAACTACGATATGCAAATAAATGGATATAATAAATATGTTAATATGATTAATGAATGCGTGTGTACAATACGCATATAATTTTGATAGGCATATGAATAACTACGTACAATTAATGATTACATTTCAAATAGAGTAGTTCAAATATGTGCAGAAATAGGAATTCAAATGCAATTCAATGAAATGGAAAATGCTATGCTAAGACGAATTTATACGATTTTGGGTATCTGACTGGATAAGCAGTGCTCGCTTAGCCAGAATCCGTGGTCTCGGTGTTTTACGACAACCTCTACGTGTAAAAATAATAACAGATTTGCGCTTACGCAATATGTTACTGTTTGGCCGAGCTTCTCCTCCGATTTGTGGCGTGCGCCTTGATGTTGTGCCACAAAGGGGGTCCATACAGTTTTACGCCGACTTTGAACGGCGATTGTTTTTTTTTTTATGAGAAGCTGTTTTTCGTGGCAGAAATACACCCGGAGGTTTGCGCACTTCTAATCACTACACTACAGCTGCTTACATACGACTGCTTTCTGAGATATTGGCGTTAAAGTTTTTGATGTGTTATAACTTTACTGTTGTTGTAGTATTGGAAAGAGTTGTCTACTGTGGAAAAAAATCGTTAGATTACCAGTATTCGGCCCTAATTTAACTGTAATAAACGCTTTCGATCGAAAAATATGTTACCTATGTCTTTTCTGAGTTACGCTCTTTTTGGAAAAATAAAGGAGATCATATTCTTGTCCAGTAGCCCAAATTATGCAAAAAAAACTCCTTTAAAAAAGTAATTTTCATTTCGTAAAATTGTATTTTTAAACGAGTAGTATTTAGTTTCTTCAAGCGATGTATTTCAATGTACATACATACATCATGAAAATTTTGTACAAATTCCTTAGGCGCCGAACGCCGCCGCCGCCGCCGCCGCGCCATATTTTCGTAACTCGGCGGCGGCGCGTGAGGAATGACAAAAATCGGCGGCGGCGGCGGCGTGGCTCGGCGGCGTATACCTCTAATGCATATACACTTTTGCCAGGTTATTTAAGATGGCAATGGAAATATGCCTTCTGACAACCACCAAATCGTAATATCAGAAGATAAATGCGTCACTGAAAATCATGAACGTGAACTGTTGGTGAATATGTTGGACCAAAATGTTTCAATACAAAAAATTAATTTTGGGCGGGACGAAGTTCGCCGGGTCTGCTAGTATTAAAATAATAATTTACAAAATAAATACTTTATTAAAATACAACTTTAAGTTCTTATTCTTATCCATTTTCAAAACTATTTATCGTATAATGTTATTAAGGAAGCATATTATAGTTTTCTTGCATGTTGAGAACAAATAAGGGAATACATACATATGTAACATATGTACTTTTGGCGACCGCCGTAGTAGAATGATTACAGGTGCGTACTTCCACTCGGTAGGCCTAACGTTAGATTTGCCAGAGCATAATCCAAAATAGCAGGCCTTTGAGTGTATTTCTGCCTTGAAAAACTTTCTAATAAAAACATTTGCCGTTCGGAGTCAAAGCAAAAATGTAAGTGCATCCATATGTGTTGCAACAAAAGAACATACAACTCAAATTTGAGAAGCGCGGCCAAATACTTAGCATCAAATATTTATTTGTTTACTTATTTGAAGGGAGATGACAATCTTCCGATTTGAACCGTTTCAAATTTTTGATTTTCAAAATTACTCAGTGAGGCCAAGTTTAATCAAAATGTAGGGTAACCACCAAATAAAAGTGGTGTATAAGGCGAGTTTAATGAAAATTGTTTGTATGGTAAACTCTGAGTTTAAGAGCAGATTTTAGCGTTAAACACCAAAATGGCCTATAAACTCGAGTTTATGGCTCAATGAGAACGTAATAATAGATTTATAGTATAAAAATAAACATGTAGGTATAGTAATTCCAAAATTAGTGAAGGTATAAATTAAAACGGGTTTGAAGGCTAAAACTGTTTAATGACCAATTTTAGTCCTTAGCGAGACCTTTTCAGCGACATTAAGATTTAAAAAATTGGATATAAAATAAGAAAGTTATAGCAAAAGACGCGATTTAGCGGTTTTTAGCGGGTGCAAAAAAAAAAAAATTACACCCAAAATTTTCTCTCGACATAAGTGTTTAAATAAAATTTACACACTTTTCTTATGTCATGATACGGCTTAATGTACATACATACATATCTCTTTCTCTGCACGATTCATTTCGTTTGTTGTTTCGTCTGTAACTACTAAACGACTGGAGTGTACTATCGCCAAAGTGAACTCAGTTGTTTTGTTTCTGTATTGTACCGAACTGTTGAAGTAATAAACGAAGCGAAATAGTAACGTACAATATATGTAGTTTATTTTCGTTCACTGTCTTCAATATATGCAGTTGAGTTGCAATTGAAAAATTAGAATATGCTTCCAACAGTTTTCTCGTACTCGGCACGTCTGAACTCAGTGGTTAATTTGAGTGTCAAACCCCAGTGGGCTCAAGAAGAAGTATTTTTAGGTGATATGGTGATCTCTGAAAAAGCAGCTGCATATATGTATGTAAACCACTTCAAATAATTTATGCAACTAATGCAAAATACAATTGCATGATTTTTAAAATACACATACAAAAATTTAATATATTCTAACAGCATGATTTCATCGAAAATTCATATGTGACAAAGCTTATAATTCATATCAAATGCACATTACCTTGGTAATTGCAAGGTAACTTCGTGTCAAACACTGCACAATTCCTCCAAATGTTTAATATTTAATGGCACAAACAAATTTATTGCTTGCAAAGGTTTAAAATATCGCTACAACATGCGAAACGTGCAATGAGAAACGTGAAAATGACAAAGTTAGAAAAAAGGCAAGCAAGATATTGCAATGCCATTCAAAATAATCGGAATTAAGCATTCTACTGCTGACTAATGATAATAATACAAGTTTTATAATGAGCTAAATGCACTCATGTATTTTTCATAATAATTCTAGCAAAAGTTAATGCTTCAGGTGTGCAAACCTTGGCTCTTCATGCAATGTATGTATATTCTTTTCATTTCTTCTTTTTTGCACCGCAAACTTTCCTATCCAACAATTGGCCAACGAATGGGCCTTTCTGCGATGGTTAAATATCGCGTTTTATTCAACGAGTCGGCACTAGTACACATGCAAACATGCACAGAAATTATATATTTAATTTTATTTTTCCAAATTAAGTCCTTACCTTTCAATAAATATTTTAATTTAAATCGTCAGCTAATTTTGAATGCATGCAGCGTCACTATAAGCTTATTTGATACATTGTACTTCCACCTTCAATAAATAATTCACACAAAAAGTTTAGAAGGGAAAAGAATATGCACCCGCTTTTGGGTGAGGTATAACAGTGCAGCAATCACACCTGTGCGTGACGTCGAGATTGTGTGAGCAATTTGTGTGCGTATGAATTTTACGAAATTTAATGACAAACAAAAAGACATACATATGTACATAAGTATGTATGTATGTACATACATAAATTATTTGGCTCATTGAAAATGTTGAAGGAAGCATGCCGTATTCTAATGTGTTAAAATATATAAATTTGGAAAACTTGTGCGGAAGTTGATTTACCGTTTTAAATGTGCATTTGTACATACATAAATTTTTATAGATGCCGATGCAAAGAAACTCGGTAAAAACATGCAAATACAAAATTTATATACATTTTATGCTGTATTCTTATTTAATGTTTATTTTTTGCATACAAAATAGTCTTTATTGCAATATAATTCTTTCTTACAGAGCCAACAACAATTGGCAAACCAATTTTGCATCTATAAATAAATCGAATGAGAATTCACCTCAGACAAGTAAAAAGCAACGTGACTGCGGTGAATCTGCACGTGATAGCTTAGCATACTCCTGCCTATTAAAGAATGAACTTCTAGGCACCGCCATTGAGGACGTGAAGGCGGTTAGTGATGAACGCAACGAGAACACCTACACACCAGCGGCGAAAAGAAGTCTTTTCAAGTACCAATCGCCCACAAAGCAGGTGAGTTCAATGTCGTCACTAGCGTCTGGGCTGCACAGCACGAAGTTGCAATGTATTTAGCTTCAAAACATAATTAAACCTTTTCATAGAAATAAGTGTATTGTTTAAATGCATAGCGTGAAAGTAGAGTTACTTATGAATAACTGCATATTGTATTAATTAAACTTAATGCACAAACGTTTAATGCTTGTTAGGTATCCATTGCATTCATAAACTACAATTTACCAGCAAATTAACATGTGAGGGCTATTATGGCTTTATTCTGCAGGTATCTGTTTCTTGTATAAAATGCATTTATATTTCGTTAATCCCTTTATAGACATGGTTCACAGATAATACGTTCTGAGTTGCTGAAATTAACAGCGAGCACCGAAGCTGAATATGTTTTGTAGTGAACCCGCATGGCGTTAAAACGCCCAAAATTGAATTTCAAAAATCTTAAAAATATTCCAAATATTAGTTAGGATTATAAGCGATCCGAGTGCCATATTTCATCTAAATCCGTGCAGCCGTTTCTAAGTGAAGAGATAGTCTCGCATAGGGGACGTTTTTAATTTCTCCAAAATTCAAATCAACTTATATGTACCGATAAAAAAGTTCTTAATTAAAAAAAAAACTTTATCGCACATCTACAGGCTAAGATCTTTGACGAAACCTCTAATTTTTTAAATTCGAAGAAAAAACGGCGCAGATCGAATGACCATGAAAAAAGATGCCTTCTCGTATAATATAAGTACATACTTATATACCTAGTTAGATCGATATGACATTTCGAAAACCTGCCCAGGCTAATAAAAGGTGTTTTAAACTAAAGCTTTCATTAATCTCATTCGGTTGGCAACCTATAGCTTAATATTTCATTAAACTTGTGGATAAGTTAACTGAATTCGACTTTCCAAACAGGTGAAATCCTTTTCAAAAGCATTTTCAAACCACAATTTTCTTAAATCTCTTTCGTCTGACATTGTTATACACATGTATTTCAATAAACTGATGAACTAAGTGGAATTTTATTGTTTAAACACGTTTAACACGTTTAAACACCCTCCTAAATAAAGGTTAGAAATAAGAGTTTTCAAACCCATTTGGATTGATGCCCATATTTTAATAATTCATACAACTTATTGAATAATTTGAATGTAACTTTTTAAGCACGTGGAAACCCTCTTCAAACATTCCAAATGTTCAAACTAAAGATTTCTTAACACTCTTTCTTTTGACTCCCGTATTTTGATATTACAAATAGTTTTTGTATTAGCTAATTAAATTAGACCTTTCAAACAGGTGGCACCCTCTTCAAAAGTATTCTCAAGCTAAAATGTTGGTAACTCTCCTTCGTTGGACATTGCGACAAATATTTTAATTAACTGATGAATTAAGTAGAATTTTATTTTTTAAACATGCGGCAACCCCTGTAAATATAGTTCAGAAATAAGGATTTTTCAAACCCTCTTCCAATACCTCAAAAATATTCTTAGTGTTCAAACTAAATATTACTTAACGCTCTCGCGCTTAACATCCATATTTTTTCAAATTACTACCTTCTGAAAACCCTTTCGTTTGGCAACAATTTGGTGATATGTACGTATTTCTCTTACCGAATTCGCTATACTTAAATTGAATTTGATTTTAATTGAATTTGATTAAAAAAACAAAGCTTTTCAAACCCATTTCGATTGATACCCATTTCGTAATAAGTGATTTATTTTTTAAATAATTTGAATACAATTTTTAAATGGTGGCAACTCCTTTTAGAAAAGTAAGAAGTTATAGTACATTGCAGTCCAAGCCTTTTAATATGAAAGATCATTTTGGAAAATCGAACGAACGGTGCGGGTATGATGGCATTGATTATTAAATAATTTGAATTTAATTGTTAAAACAAAACCAGTTTGCGCATCTACAGGCCAATCGCTTTAATTTGACACCCCACTTTTGATTCAGCAAATTTTAATCAAAATTTTCAACTTTTTAATCAGATTTTAGAATTTTTTTGAGTATGCAGCTTTGCAGCCGAATGTACAATCCAAGTTCGGAGTTAGTCAGAAATCGCGTTGGGTTTTGAGAATTTTTTTTTGTTGAAGGTGTTTTGCATTTTTTCCATATAAAGTATTTTCGAAAAAAATTTTTTGTGTGGAAGAGGTGCGTGAAAAAAATGCCAAAAATCAACTGTAATTCCTATTTACTTGCACTTTATAATAAAATGGATTGGACTACAAATCTGCAAACTCAAAAAATTCTAAAAAATCTGAATAAAAAGTTGAAAGTTTTCATGAAAATTTGCTGAATTTTCGCGAGTTTTGCACAAAGTTTAGGAGTTATATTTTTATGTTTTTTGTTGTAGAATGAACCATATTTTTTATACGAAATTAGCGGAAAAATATTAGAATGAAAATTGTTGCATATATTGTGAAAAATTTGCTGTGCCAATACTTTGTTCCGGCAGTGTACATATTAATAATGACAATAAGACAATTTCAAATTTAAATTAGCTGAAAAATTATTACCAGCTTCAGTTGTCATGGAAACACCAGCTTTTTATAAAAATCATCAATATTTTTCACATCCTCAAAGGGATTCAGTAGCGCATTTCAAGGTCATTGAGCACCCTGCACTGGTTAAGGCCCGTATGCAGCTCTAAAGAAAACGGTCAAGAAAAAATTTCCATTATTTCGTGTGTGTGTCCAAGGAAGTTTGACATCTGAGCCTGTTGCCTCACTCTTTCCTCAAGAAATAATGGAACGGGAATATATTTCTTTGCAAACCTGTGTTGCTTTGTGCTCTTTTTTCACAAAAAACTTTAGAAAATGGTAGTAGAAGCCGTAGCAAATTTCTTAAGAACTGCGTACTGCCTTAAGGAAATTTGACTCGAGAAAATTTCTTACCTATTTCTTGTACGTCATACTGGCTTTTACAGTAGAAAATTGAAAGATCATGTAGATATTACAAATACCAAAAGGAAAAAAACTAAGGGGGGGTGCCCCGTCTTCAACGATGACATTTTTTGCCCCCATACAAAATGTAGACCACTCGAATACATACATAAATATGGGTGTTTTCTACTATAGTAGGCTCTCAATAAACACACATTTTTTGTCATGAATAGTCATCAACAATACCAATCTAAAAACAATAAAAATATTTTCCACAAATGTTATATGGTAAGTGTATAGCGATTAAAAGAACCCTTTCGGACGTTCCCAAAATGGAACTCGTGTCGAAGATGACTGATGATTTTTACAAAAAAAATTATGTAATCACTAGCTTATACCCGCGGGTTTCACCCCGCGCTTTTATACAAATATGAAAAATAATTTAATGATGTTAGATTTTATTTATGTGCCCATTTCGTTATAGCTCGTTATTTTTTAAGCGAGTAAAGGTATTTAGGCCGTTTGAAACTATAAAATTATAAAATCTCGTCTGCGCGCTGTTAAGTTTACCTTAAAATGGTTCCAGGTATACGACGAGTGAACGTGTAACCTTCTTGGAGGTGCCACGGCGGGTTCTAATATTTCCAACTCAAATTTAGTAACCTGGCCTTGATAAACTACCACTTCTCATTACTGTAGCAAATGCCTCAAGAGAGCTTTAGATTATAAGGCCGAACCCAGCTCTCCCTTTTCCATTAAATGAAATTTTTTATGTCAGTACGGCACTTATAAAATAAATCTCCATAACAAATTTAAAATACTTCGAGAGATTTTCAATCCTTCCAGAGATATGCATTAAGAAGTTTTTAGTATGTATGAGAGGCGACATGCCTCCTTTTTTAATAACTCACATTTTTTCCATGAGCAATTGATACATTTTGTATACACAACCATACCAAGTTCCAGTATTCTTCCACAAACACTTCCAGGGATATGTGACAAGAAAAAGTAAATTTTTACTGGAAGTGCCACGCTCCTTTTTCTTATAACCCTAATCTTCTTCCATGAATTTAGAATTGATTTTACATACCCCAGTACCAAGTCCCAGTACTCTACCATGAACACCTCTAGAGATAAGCAGTATAAAACAGTAAATTTGTACGAGAGGAACCATGTCCCCTTTTCGAATAACGCAAATTTTTCTCTATGAGTATGGCATTAATTTTGTATAGACATCTCGGTGCCAAGTTCCAGTCCTCTGCAATAAACACTTCCAGAGATATGCAGCATAGAAAAATCAATTTGCATGGGAGTTGCCACACCACCTTTTCCAATAACTCTCATTTTTCTCCATGAGTATGGTATTAGTTTCACATACATACATACATATGTATTTCCATACCAAGCTTGAGTGCTTTACCTAGGGCTGCCAGATATCTCTGTTGCCAAACCGGGACACTTAAGGGGGGGGAGAGGCCTCTCGCTCCCTTCCATTTCGTTTCGACAAAAATTACGTACAAAAGGATGTAGTGAAATTTTATTTTGATAAACAAAAACAAAAACATAAAAACATGAGATCATGAGATTATTACAACGTACATCAGCAAAACAAAACAATTTATCACAACTAAAGCACAGAGAACTTTTCACAATGCATGTACCTTTTTTGTTCCTTATAAAAATACAGTTTATACTAAATACACCAGAAAACATAAAAATAAAATTTCTAAACTTTGTGCAAAGCTCGGGAAAATGCAATAAATTGCATACAAATTCGCAACTTTCTATTCAGACCTTTTTATAAAAAATTTTAAAATGAAGTTTTGCAGCCCATACAAATGTAGTTTTTTTTGGTATTGTTTTTATTGAGAGTTTCTTCCATACAAACTATGTTCGACATTGTTTTGTATGTGGAAGACACTGTCAGCAAAAAAAAAATAATTGCAAAAAATCAACGAAATTTTCTGGTAACTTGAGACTTGCACTTTACTAATTGGCTCAAAAGCTACATTTTCAAAATGTTTCTAAAAGATCTGATTAGAAATTGTGATCAGATGAAAGAGTCTCCGAGCCAATGGTTTTGTACGGCACGGTACTTATAAGTAATCTAGGTCTCACGGAAGAAAA